CTCTCTTTAGCGTGGGTTATTTTTGCTTCAGAAAACTACAAAGAAACTAAAGAAAAGAAAAGTCCACCTCCCACACAATGTCTGTGTTTCAGGTCAGGCGTAGGTCAACCAACTCGGTGGATTGAATGTCGGGTAAATACCATACACCCCAGCAACACCACAGTGATGTGTGCTTATTAATGGATGATGAGATTCACTAGCATTAGAACACCGGAAATGCTATTATACTTAATTTCCTTACTTCTATTACTTGCATGGAGCATCGCCTACGTTGTGTCACCGGTTCTGACATTACGATCTTTTCCTCCATAAGTTCTCTATTGTTTGACACACAATGTTCCATACATAAAACAGATTCACCCCTAACGTCGTCGTGTCACGGTGTTTTAGCATACCATTGGATCCAATCGTTATCACATGCTGACAATGGTAATAAATGACGGTAAAACGTATTAAATTCAGCGCTTTTGAATAAAAACCTGAGACACCATTGATAAAAAAAATACCGTGACAACTACTACTTATTTACTTGTGTGATTTTAGATCGTTGTTGGATTCAGATGGCTGGAATGAGTGGAGAGTACGACGTAATATTATTTGTTTTTATTACGATTTACAGTTGTGATTGGTGTATGTGACGCTGGTCTCTTCTGCAGTGTCTGCAATGACTCAGTTCCAGTTTGTGATAGAAAGACCATGTCCTGTCATAGCAACTGTAAGCAGACCGTTGAATGCGAAGAAGGCTTTTTATGTGTTGCCACGTGGTGGGTGGATGACATTAAGGAATCAGAGATTTACCCGTGGCTCGGCTGCTTTCCAGCCATATCACCGTATGGAGAAAAATGCAAAGCCACTAAGTCACAGGGCGCCCTCACATGTCTTTGTAACGCCGACAACTGTAATGAAGAAATTATTGTTCCTAAAGAGTTGTTTCCTGAATACAAAGATGAAGAAGAAGCCAGTAGCCATAACAACAGTAACAGTGCACCCCCATTAGTTACTGTGACAATAATAGGTATGTGGCTTATCAGTAAATATCAGTGATCATTTTTTATGGGTTATACACGTGATGTTGCTTATTGTTGACCATTTCTATAGTTACCCAAAAACTTCTTATATTACCTCAAGGTTGTTTTTAGATAAAAACTATGCTTCGAAATGTTAAAACAAATTGATAAATAAAGAACATATCAGCGAGTTGAAGAGTGCATACAATATTGATTGCAGGATTATACTAATCCCATTTTATTATCTACAGCACTACAATGCATTTAAGATTTCACAGAATGTTCCAACATGTTCACTCTAAATACCCATTCTGCTATGTTTATTAGTTTAATACTTTTTCAACAGTTTCAATTGAGATTGTAATCTGTATGAAAGAACAGATAGAGAACTTAATTAATTAAGTAATTTTGCCTGCTTTTGATTCCTGGGACTATTATTATATCACATCAATTCGCCGATTATTTTAATACATATGTATTTTATTCGATTGAAAAAACACCAAAAACAAGAGACAGTATGTAAGCCTAGTACCGACTTATTACTTAGTATTAGGTAAGGTACTCATCGTAATGAAACATAATCGTGTCGTCCTTAGAAACTTGATATTGTCGCGGTTTACATCTTGGCGTGATTATAGATTAGCCTTGATGCCATGTGACTCATCATAAACGTACACAATTTTAACATGCATCGTTCGTATAGTTGGAACAATTTAAAATATGGACACAAAACCAGGCAAATTTCTTTACAATGGTTGGATGTTGCATAAAGTTGTTCGAACATTTCATCCCGCAATCATCACTGTTTTTTACCCTAGTTATGAAATAGCCCGGCCCTTAATTTCTACTGTGTTTTGTTAGTACTCGTAAACTAGTGATCTAGCAATTACCGTTCCCCTTGGGTGAAAATATTGTCTACAAATTAAGTTCTGTCACTGGTCCCGTTATCCCAGCATAGGGCACATGACAGTGTCAGAATTAAACAATGTTCGCATTAGTTTTAAAATGTTAACTTGTTAAGCCTTGGTAGGATTTATCATGTATGACTCATGGTGTCCCACGGTGCATTAATTAACTCCGTGACGTGTCATGTGATCTTTCACAGCCCTTTAACCTCACTCCCTACTGTGATGTAGCATGGGAATTGTAACAGTTCGATGTGCTCGAAACTCCTGTTAATTAAAATCAGTGAAATCCACAAAGAAAGCCTGAATACTATCATATATATATATATATATATATATATATCAGTAATTTTAATGAAAAAAAAGTACATTTATCTTAGTAATAGTGACACCTGTTGTTTAGTGTGATGAACCCCCACGGTTGGGTACAGGAGCATAGAAGTTTTTAATTAAAATTGTTTTCCATAAGAAAAATGAAACCATCATACATGGCCTTATAAACAGCCTTTTACTTCATAGTGGGGTGGGTGGAGTAAAGCTGTGATTATTTTTATTACTTTCTGACCATCTAGTTTGCCATTTACCATGTCCATATAAACTAAAGCTCCAGCCAATATCAGATTTGACTACTTGTTTCAAGCTATGGCACTTGGAAATGAGTGTTGTGACATGTGGCAAATGTCCAACTGTCTTGGTTAATAAGATTGGCTATATTTCAACTAGAAACAGGTAAACCAGTATACCTGTATGTACGAA